GGGGCCCAAGGCAGAGCGGGACAGATGAGTTCCGTTCCGTGGTCCGGTGAACTTTCATCAATGAGTTGCAACATCTTCGGCAAAACCTGGCTACGAAGACATAAGGGATCTAAAGGGTCTAAAGCAACCGCAGACAAACCATGTGAAGTTAATGCTTGACTGTTCATCGCCGTGGTCATCATGTCGTCAAGGTTCATAGCGGTGTTGCGACACTATGAATGTTGCCTGTCGTGAAATGGATTGGAATTCCCGAGCTGCCACCAGAGCCACCAAGCCAGAAATAGTTATTTCATTCTCCCTTGTCGTTGCCGGTAATACTATCTACCGATGTTCCAACTATCAATCGCCTGCAGAGGCGCCCTGGGGCCCCGAAGTGCCGGCCATTGACACTGTACAGGCACAAATTGTCAACGTAAGGGATGACTTACTGCGCCAGTTCGCTGCTCGTGTGCTCGACACATGTCATATTTTTGACTTAACAGCCTCAAGAACAATCGCGAGGGTCGAGAAAAAGAGAAGGCTACTGTCTGTTCTGACCTTTGCCGGCAACTCCAAGATCTGATCTATTAACTCAACAAAACTTGTCAGAGCTCTGACAGATGCCGTGACGGCTTTCGCGACCAAGAGTACATGTGCCGATTTTGTGTGTTTGTGTTGCTTCGTCTCGCTCTGTGAAAAGAGGTTATGCCGTCTGGCTTTTCGTACTCATGTTCGAACCCGCTATCAGAGACAACAACAAATATAGGTAGCAGATTCACAGCGTTAACGGAACATAGCTGACAAGCCGCCACATGCTTCCTGAGATTAGCAGCTCCCACGTCCCTGCAATAGTTTGGTCGGTTATCTCCGTGGCGCTGGCAATTGGCGTGACGGGTCAACAATTTGACCAATCAGTACTGTCCATTTATAGTAGTGTTCGCCCGCGCACTCTTCTATGGTAAATACTGTCGATGAAGTCTTGAGGCAGCATACGGAGGGCAAGCTCTGGAAGCTGCTGACTGTAGTAGGCATGTGGTGATGTAGTAACCATACGCTATAAATATTGCATCTTTCGTAGGTTTGTTCCCCATATCTGTTGTTGATCAGAATGCCGGACAAGGAAAGTTTTTTACTGAAGCGATCATTTCGGCCTCCCCCCCCCCGACGCCACAACAGTGGAGAGAGATTTTACGGCTTTCTCAAAATGTACGGCAGTAACAAATTCGGATGGTTCAAAGAATACCTGTTCCCGGAGGGGATTGTGTAGAAAGGACAGCGCCAAGGACCGATTGCTTTTTGGCGTCAAGAAGTTCAAAAAATAGGCGTCCTAGAAGGGGAATGCAGGCATCCTTCAAAGGCATCGGCTGTCCACTATTCTCTGACGAAGCAGCAACCAGCTGGTCGACCTGAGACATCGCTTTTTCGAGCGATTCCGCAGACGACAAGCCCGTATCGAGCAGCAGTGTGAGATCACAAATGCCATCTGTTAGCTCAAACAAACGCTTCTGGGACTGGAAAAGTAAATAAAGGTGCGTTAGGTAACGCAGTGCTTAAACGAAAGATAAGAAACCATGGAAACTTAATTTTCCGTTGTCTAACAGATAATCGTGTTTTGAAGAAGAAACTTCGAGCAACGTAACAAACATTTTATTACACTAACCTCACGACCTTATTTTTAGATATCTTCGTGAGTCCTAAAATATCCGGCATTAGTATTCCCTTAAGGCATTTGGCCATGGAGGCGGCCCGGGAGCGCCGATGAAAGTGAGGCAATTAGAGACCCCAATTTAAAAGCTGTTAAATAGAATAAGTGGGTAGTCGCACAACAGCTGCAGCTTATATGTACCGCCCTTCTCGTGCGTTCGTTGCTCCCGTCTTTGGCTGTTTCTGATAATTATTTCCAGCGGGAATCCGAGCTGTCAAACGATCCGTTCAGCGATCATATTTCCTTGTTCTCGATTATTCTCCGAAGCCCGCCTTTTTGCCTGTATCACAAAGCCGGTCAGCTTGTCTGCATACTGCGACTTAGGACAAAAACTCGAGTATACGCCAATGTAAGGTCAAACAGATGCGTGGGTATACGCATTGTCTTGGGCAAAATGACCACGGTTAGGAGTGCTAAGTCGCACAAGAGTGCCCTTCATCCACCTACTCTAGTTTGCTCTAGAGTTCCGGCCTGGAATTCGGCTAGGTTCGAAAACGGTATTTGAGGTTTTCCTTGAGTTCTTCAATACTATATATCACTAACGGCTGCTATTCGCCACTACAGGGCTGTAGAAGAGTGTCAAAGCGAGGCAGCATATTTGTATTCCATTCTGTGCATTGGGTTATTCAGTGTAAAATAAACGTTGTTTGATTTCCATCTACACTAAACTGACCGACAGAGCCACCCAAAGCATCACGTTGAATACGACCATACAGTTATAAAAGGAATGGAGCAGTTTCGGGTATTTGGGACGCTCTCCATTTGTGTCAAGGTTTTCATGAATTCAGCTAACCTAAGAATGACATTAACTTCTTGCGAAAACTGAGGCCAGATAAGCGCAGTGAACGGACCCTGACTTATTAAAAGCCTTAGGAAGTTGTTGATATGAGTTGTGTCAAAATTTAATTACCGAAAGGCTCTCTTCACAGGAGGATGTACTGTGGAGATGAGGCGAGGATAGGTCCAGGGAGAGGCAGTTCACAAAATCCACGGTCCCAAAGTTAATCGTTGAAAGAAGGACTCGTGGGAACATTCGCGCCAAGGAACATATCGATATGCGGCAAACTGCTAGAAATTCCACGCGCACTTGGTCGCGATTGTCTGTGCAGATGGGTTCGGCAGAAAAACGAAAAGCCAAGGGTCTGAAAAGAAGGCAGTAAGTTCACGTGAGCGCTTGCAACTATTAACATATAATCTAGGCATTTATAAAAGCAGGGAAGATTTCGAAGACAGACCCAAAGGTTATGCGATTTTACAGGGTGTCGAAGGAATGGCCTAGAACACGATGGTTAAGGTACCACTTCCCCCAACGTACTTTAGCAAGATAAATGGTACTATCTTGTAAAATTTTAACCAAAATCCCGAAAGTTGTCTTCGATTAAAAAAAGATTACTTACGTAGCTTTGGAAGATTAATTATCGTACAGCATAATCCTAAGACATTTAAGTCTCCCCAGGATTCCGGTTATTGAACGGAATTTTTTCAGTTGATCTTTATAAAGTATGTTCTATGAAAAAATGACTACTTAGCTGGTATGCATTCTGCTACTGATTTGCAATGCACTTATGAGTTCAAATAAATTTCATATAAGAAGGGATAAAAATATTCTTTTTTGTACTCATTTGGCAGCAACCTACGTGTTTCTCAAATTTTAAACTTGAAGAAGAGGTGGATTTCGGTTTTAACAATGTTTCTGAATTCCTGAATAATTGTAAACCCAAAGTTCTGACACCCCAGCATTAAGGGTTTCAAACTGCAAGCGGCATAATTTTCGGTTTAAGAAAAATGCGGCATTTATATACAATATTAAGAAGAATTAAGATAGGGCTCGCAATAGTTTGCAATGAATGTGAATGATATAACATACTTTACAAGTAGCATTCATAAATCCAAAAATGCGATGTATTATGAATGGACAATTAACTGTCTTAAAACCGTGTAATTATAAACTTTTAAAACCGAAAGATATCTTTTTCACGCATAAAATTTGAAGCCAGCATCCTAGAGCGACCGAAATATTCTGGAATTATGCTGTACAACTCTGTCTGAATTAGCGTTTCGAATCGAAAACACACTTCAGAATGTAGCTTAACATTTCTTGCGATAGCACATTTACTGTTTGTTCAAAGTACATGAAAAGATAGGCAAGGTGGTCCATAAAAATGAAAGTTATGCTCTGTTTGTCAAGACGATGTGACGATTGCAGCCGAATAAATGTGATTGCCGTAGAAAGGAGTGCGTTGCAGACACCTACAGGCTCCACACCCTGAAGAAGGATACTCCCGCAACTGACAGATTAGAATAATGTTGTCCACCGCCGTAGAACTCACAACTATAAGCACTTGCACATCTGCTCTTTTCTTGATAACTGAAGTGGCAGGGATTCATCGTGGGACCGCCCAATGGCAAAAGTCCCCCAGCGGAATTCGTTGTTAAAGGGTTAATGTGTGAAGAATGCGTGGTTAATATGTGTAATAAGTGTGCAATAAGAAGGAAATTAGTTGCTTGTAATTGTTTAAGTGAACTAAAAAGTGTAGGTGAGGAGGTTGCAGAAAGAACAAAAAGCCAAGAAAACTATAAGAGCAACGCCTATTACCATTAGGCGACCCTACTATGAATCCCTGTCACCGAAGTTTTGAATAAACCGAAGCCACAATGTCTACAGTGTTTTACACAAAAAAGCGAGCATTGCGATCTACAAAACGTACACACTGATGGTTCTAACTGTCAAGGTTTACGTAAAACAAATTCTGCAGAGTTAGTGACTGACTGACATTAACATAAATTTCTTTTTTGGAAAAAAAACCCGAGATAATGACGGCTTACATAACTCTCTGTATGACCGGCAGGACCGGTAACCAGAATTTGTTCTTGAAGCGGTTGGCAAGGGCCATATATTCAGCAGAGGATGGATTTCCGGGCTTGAAGAAAGTCTCGTCGAAAGCGGCCGCATCATCAACGACCGACAAGAAGTGATTTGTCATGTAGAAGACTGTCCATCGCAGGAAGGTCGCCAGGCAGCCGAGAACTGTGTTTGAAATGTCTTCGTTCTAAAGTGAAAAGTGTGCTAAAAATAGTCAAATTCAGCCTCAGTAGGCAGCGAAGGAGCGATAGAACGAACAATCAGAAGTCTGTTAATCTGGGATAAAAAGTGAATGTTA